AACAACAACTGAGACTGTAACTGAGAATGAATTTACCACAGCTCAGATTCCTTTGTCCACCACCACCAGGCCACCAAAGGTGGTGACGACTGGTCTAACAAGCCAACCAACGACTACAGCAACAACCAGTTTAGAAGAGGTAACAGGCACATCATCTGGAACATCAAAATCTACAAGCACAGCCCTGCCAGCCGCACAAACTTCATTACCAGTCGTTAAATCCACACAACCAACAACACTAACAAAGACAACTGCTGTGCCAGTCACTACTCTTGTATATACAACAGTGAGTGTAGAATCTTCCACTGGCTCTGAGGTTACCACTCAAGGTATTTCTTCAACAACAAAACCAATCAAAGCTGAAACAACTCTTTCAACCACCACACCAGCCATCCCATCCACTACTCAAACAACTGGACAACTAACAACAACTGAGACTGTAACTGAGAATGAATTGACCACAGCTCAGACGCCTTTGTCCACCACCACCAGGCCACCAAAGGTGGTGACGACTGGTCTAACAAGCCAACCAACAACTACAACAACAACAACTTTAGAAGTGGAAACAACTTTTGAAACAACTAAAACAGTATATATTCCAACCATTTCACCAATTTCCACTCAAAATGTTTTCTACTCATCCACATCCATGGAGACATCAATTGCCCCCATTACACAAACATTACCATCTTTTACTAACTCCATTCCAGTGACTACAAAATCCTCTTTATTATCAACCACTTCAGTTGTCTGTTGCCTTGTGAATGGCACACATTTTCAATCAGGTACCAAATTCACATTTAATTTTTATAAAAAATTTTATTTTTTAAAATCACGAGAAAAGCTGAAATTTTGTAACTCTGTAACTGTTTTTCTTTCTTCTTCAGATGATATCATTTACAATGTTACTGATGGCTTTGGTTGGTGCTTCACTGCATACTGTAATGCAACTTGTCATATTGTGAAGATTTCAACATCTTGTGAAACCTCTCCATCACCATCCATTCCTCCTGCAACAACCACATATTCCAGTTCATCAACAACCACAAGTTCCCCAGAAACAACACAGCCTACCACAACTAATACAGGCACAGAAGTAACAGCTACAACCTTTGGGCCTAAGTGTGATGCACTTGATCCACCAAGACAGGTACATCTTCAAACAATAGTATTTTTTTTCATAGGTTACAGTATCAATAGGGCCATGGCCTTCCTTTTTTGCATATGTTAAAAGTCAGTGGAAACAAAAGAATATCAAACTAAATGTTACATGTTTGCATCTGGCGGATGTTTTATTTAAAGCAACTTACATTTCACTCAGTTTGTTTAAGGGTGTTAATATTTGTTCTGACAATGATTCGATTCACCATCTGATCATGGTGTATGGTAAAAATTGATAATGGGTCATGATTTTATCAGATTTTGCTTATTTTGGATTCATAATTATTTCTAAAAAAGACTAATGTAACCATAGTGACAATTTGGTCACTAGTAATATATAGAGAAATTTAGGTTATACATTCTCAGTCTCAAAAACTGAATTTTGGATCATTTGTACATTTAATAATAACATGTTAGTAAACTAACAGAAACAGATGTTAAGCAGACTCTTGAATATGCATAGTAGATTTGCATATCATGGAAAAATTATTGAACAGTTAATTAAGATTTGAATGGAGTCTCATGCATTAGGGAATAACGGAGATTGTAATAACAATGTGTCAATTGCAGAATTTAGTGAACAGAATTCAATGAACCATTTCAGGTTCCCATCTATGAAAACATGACGTACTGTAACTGACAAGTTTTATTTTTATTTTTTTGAAGCCCAATGATACTTGGCAAAGTGGATGTCAAATGTGTGAGTGTGAGAGTGAAACACTGACGGTCCGTTGCCAGCCTGTAACTTGTCCTGTTTCACCACCTGTTACTTGCGATCAGCCTGGACAAGTGCTTGCGAACACAACAATTGACTGCTGTGAGATCCATGAGTGCAGTAAGTGATCTGAAAACAAGAAAACGGGGACTCAGAAGGACTTTTTAAAACAGATGACAGAAATACTATTCATTTGATATATTTACTAGTTTTTAGTTATTCAGTCATACTAGTGGTTTTCAACTGATGGCTTCAAAAAAATTAGGTCCCAACTTAAGCAAATGATGGGTCTTGATTTTACCCTTGTACTGTTTAAACAGCAGAAAGTTAGACTAAAAATTTGAAAAATCGATTGTAGAAATGCCTGTACATCTACAATGAAATGCTGAACAAAAATGTGTAATATTATTCTACAGGTTGTGATGTGAACCTGTGCCCTATTCCGACAATACAATGTCCACTGGGCTTTATACCATCCTTCAGCGTGTCTCCAGATAACTGCTGTCCAGAGTATATTTGCTGTATGTATATGGACCAGTTGTTCTCAGTAAAGACACTTTATTGTTTTGATGCTTTGCAATGCACAGGTGTGCACTCATTCATTCCTTATTCTTTACAGCACCCATGGAAGTCTGTGTCCATAATACCACAATATATCAGGTAAAATTATATAATGTAATACATGTATATATATATAACTTACAAGATATCAAAAGTACACTTATTCCTCTCACTATCTTCCGTTCTAGCCTGGCTCAACTATACCAAGTGATGACCCTTGTACACTTTGTCAGTGTGGTTGGAACGTAGATCCTGAAACAAATCTTCTTGCTCCAGAGTGTGTGATAGCTGACTGCAACGATAACTGTCCAGAGGTATAGACATCTGTTTGCATCTGTAATAAAGACTAGCCCATATGGGTAAAAACTTTGCTTCAGAAAAAGCCAATTTGCTGTATGTATATGGACCAGTTGTTCTCAGTAAAGACACTTTATTGTTTTGATGCTTTGCAATGCACAGGTGTGTACTCATTCATTCCTTATTCTTTACAGCACCCATGGAAGTCTGTGTCCATAATACCACAATATATCAGGTAAAATTATATAATGTAATACATGTATATATATATATAACTTACAAGATATCAAAAGTACACTTATTCCTCTCACTATCTTCCGTTCTAGCCTGGCTCAACTATACCAAGTGATGACCCTTGTACACTTTGTCAGTGTGGTTGGAACGTAGATCCTGAAACAAATCTTCTTGCTCCAGAGTGTGTGATAGCTGACTGCAACGATAACTGTCCAGAGGTATAGACATCTGTTTGCATCTGTAATAAAGACTAGCCCATATGGGTAAAAACTTTGCTTCAGAAAAAGCCACATCAAATCCTGTGAATAATGAGCAAAGACAGCTTTAAAAGTAGTCGGTGTACAGTTATGCATCAACTACCAGGCAACGTGATGTATTTCTCCTTCAGGCTCACGAGTACCAACTCATTCCTGGTCAGTGCTGTGGAGAGTGTGTTAGCACCGATTGTGTGGTTATGCAGGACAACATCACAGTTACCGTTTCAGTAAGTTCTGACATGACATTATCAATTGCATTGTTTGATTTCGTAACATCAAATTAATTACATTTTTATTGTTTGCATTAAGTATTAATTGTATACATTCTCCACTAACAGGTTGACCAGACATGGCAACCATCTAATGACAAATGTGTGAAATACAAGTGTGAGAGAGTCAACGGTAACTCTGTGATTGTTGAGATTAAGACCACTTGCCCTGCCTTCAATCCTGAAAATTGTATCCCTGTAAGTGGCTTGAAAGAGACATTATTTTGGACAACTTAATATGTTAAATTTAAGTCAATGGTTAATGCTTTTTCTTTTTCTACAGGGAACAGAGACAATAGATGCAGATGGCTGCTGTCAAACCTGTGAGTCTGGAAAATTAAAAAAAATTATTATTATTAATTTTTTATTTTATTAAAAATTATTCAACAATTGCAAAATATGCTCATGCTTTGTATTTTTGTGAAAATGAAAGGTAATGCCACTCAGATTTGTCCGATGCCACTATCTGAACACCATTTCTTGAAGCAAAATTACTTTTAAAAAAGAAAATATTACTGAAGAGTGCTGGGTAGATTACTTGCAAATTGTAGTCCGTTACTGATTCCAAATTACATTTAAAAAATTGTAGTTGTAACATAACACATTACATTTTTCAGGTAATTTAATCAGATGATTTTTAGATGACTTTTGACGATTTCCTGATTTAAATATGATAATCATGTACATTGATATAAAAAAAAATACAGAAAGAAAGAAAATATATTCCATTTGTTGTTACTAACGCCATGAAGTGCATTAAACATATTACGTCAAAGTTTCCCAAACTGGGGTTTGTGAAGGAACTGCAGGGGGTTTGTGAGTTTAATGAAAAGCTAATAATAAATGATTGTATTTCTAAAATTACAATCAAAAAGAAAAGGAAATAAATATTAAACCTGTTTACCTGCATGTCATGCATGTGACTATGTGAATAGCATGTACTCATGTAATCAATAAAAAAGTAACTGTAGTCTGATTATGAACATTTTAAAATGTAATATAATCTAATTACAAGTACTTAATTTCTGGAACCTGATTATGTAATCCAGGTTACATGTAATCAGTTACTACCCAGCACTGCTACTGAACTTGACAAAAAAAAAAAAAAAATTCTTTACAGCACCCATGGAAGTCTGTGTCCATAATACCACAATATATCAGGTAAAATTATATAATGTAATACATGTATATATATATATAACTTACAAGATATCAAAAGTACACTTATTCCTCTCACTATCTTCCGTTCTAGCCTGGCTCAACTATACCAAGTGATGACCCTTGTACACTTTGTCAGTGTGGTTGGAACGTAGATCCTGAAACAAATCTTCTTGCTCCAGAGTGTGTGATAGCTGACTGCAACGATAACTGTCCAGAGGTATAGACATCTGTTTGCATCTGTAATAAAGACTAGCCCATATGGGTAAAAACTTTGCTTCAGAAAAAGCCACATCAAATCCTGTGAATAATGAGCAAAGACAGCTTTAAAAGTAGTCGGTGTACAGTTATGCATCAACTACCAGGCAACGTGATGTATTTCTCCTTCAGGCTCACGAGTACCAACTCATTCCTGGTCAGTGCTGTGGAGAGTGTGTTAGCACCGATTGTGTGGTTATGCAGGACAACATCACAGTTACCGTTTCAGTAAGTTCTGACATGACATTATCAATTGCATTGTTTGATTTCGTAACATCAAATTAATTACATTTTTATTGTTTGCATTAAGTATTAATTGTATACATTCTCCACTAACAGGTTGACCAGACATGGCAACCATCTAATGACAAATGTGTGAAATACAAGTGTGAGAGAGTCAACGGTAACTCTGTGATTGTTGAGATTAAGACCACTTGCCCTGCCTTCAATCCTGAAAATTGTATCCCTGTAAGTGGCTTGAAAGAGACATTATTTTGGACAACTTAATATGTTAAATTTAAGTCAATGGTTAATGCTTTTTCTTTTTCTACAGGGAACAGAGACAATAGATGCAGATGGCTGCTGTCAAACCTGTGAGTCTGGAAAATTAAAAAAAATTATTATTATTAATTTTTTATTTTATTAAAAATTATTCAACAATTGCAAAATATGCTCATGCTTTGTATTTTTGTGAAAATGAAAGGTAATGCCACTCAGATTTGTCCGATGCCACTATCTGAACACCATTTCTTGAAGCAAAATTACTTTTAAAAAAGAAAATATTACTGAAGAGTGCTGGGTAGATTACTTGCAAATTGTAGTCCGTTACTGATTCCAAATTACATTTAAAAAATTGTAGTTGTAACATAACACATTACATTTTTCAGGTAATTTAATCAGATGATTTTTAGATGACTTTTGACGATTTCCTGATTTAAATATGATAATCATGTACATTGATATAAAAAAAAATACAGAAAGAAAGAAAATATATTCCATTTGTTGTTACTAACGCCATGAAGTGCATTAAACATATTACGTCAAAGTTTCCCAAACTGGGGTTTGTGAAGGAACTGCAGGGGGTTTGTGAGTTTAATGAAAAGCTAATAATAAATGATTGTATTTCTAAAATTACAATCAAAAAGAAAAGGAAATAAATATTAAACCTGTTTACCTGCATGTCATGCATGTGACTATGTGAATAGCATGTACTCATGTAATCAATAAAAAAGTAACTGTAGTCTGATTATGAACATTTTAAAATGTAATATAATCTAATTACAAGTACTTAATTTCTGGAACCTGATTATGTAATCCAGGTTACATGTAATCAGTTACTACCCAGCACTGCTACTGAACTTGACAAAAAAAAAAAAAATATATATATAGGCTATATGTGACCCTGGAGCACAAAAGCAGTGTTAAGTCGCTGGGGTATATTTGTAGCAATAACCAACAATACATTGTACGGGTCAAAATTATTGATGTTTATTTTATGCCAAAAAATCATTAGGATATTAAGTAAAGATCATGTTCCATGAAGACATTTAGTAAATTTCCTACTGTAAATATATCAAAACTTAGTTTTTGATTAGTAATATGCATTGCTAACAACTTCATTTGGACAACTTTAAAAGCGATTTTCTCAATATTTAGATTTTTTTTGCACCCTCAGATTCCAGATTTTCAAATAGTTGTATCTCGACCAAATATTGTCTCGATCCTAACAAACCATACATCAATGGAAAGCTTATTTATTCAGCTTTCATTTGATGTGTAAATCTCAATTTCGGAAAATTGACCCTTATGACTGGTTTTGTGGTCCAGGGTCACATATTTCAGTTCTTACAAGGTGTAGAAGTACATTTTCCTAACATCTACCTAATGTGTTTTTCATTTCACTTAGGTACACTACACAACAAATGTACTGTCCAGAAGAACAGCACCTTCTTGGTCAGCAATGGCTGTATAAGCAGCGCACCTGTGGAAATAACCTCTTGCTCAGGCTTGTGTGAGACCTCATCAATGTGAGTACCAAAATTTAGAGACCTTAATTTCTAAATATATGTAGCCACAAATTGTACAGACTGTGCTGGTACCTAACAACCAAACCGTCTCTACATTGTGTTGAAACAGATACTCTGCAGAAGCGAACGCTCTAGTGCACTCATGCTCGTGCTGTCAAGAAATGACAACCACCAAGAAGGAAGCGACCCTGACTTGCCCTGATGGGTCAAACATCAGCCACTCATACATTTACATTGGGTCTTGTGGCTGCAAGGCCTCCGATTGCTCTGGTCAGTCGACTTCCTTAAGGAGACGCCGAAGGAGATTGTGAACCTGTGTTTTTAACCCTGTACAGTATAGCGATTTCAAATGAATCTTGTGGAATGAATCTGTAAATTTGAATCGTTTGAAAAGTTTGTGACCGTTATCTCTATGGTGTCACGATAATGACAGATCTTTTGTTTCTTGTCTAGTAGCTCTTAATAAACTAATGCAAACTGATGTTTGTTTACATGCTTTCATTCGATGCTCTGTGAATGGCACGTGGAAAGGATTCCGTCACAATTATGGATTCGCAATGTAAAGATTTTGGATGCAAAATTATAACTGTTGGCAACCAATGACGATTGCTTGTGCTCTTATAAACTAGATTTTTTTCCATCTACCTACATTCAAAATGGCGAGAACTGGTGCATTAGTTAGAGCAGCATGCCAAATATAGCCCTTTAATCTATGTTTACATTTATGCATTCAGCTGACACTTTTATCAATAGAGAAACAACAGCAATTCGTCACAGAGCCAACAACAATCACAGCGTGCAATGCCAGGTTTATTAGAAAGCTAGATTAGGAAACAAGCTAGAGCATAGTAGAAATGCAGAAGAAAAAGATTTAGTTTGCTCTATGTGCAATTTACTTCAAAATACTATTAAGCACAAGGTCTTAAAACTGCACTGTGCAATAACAGGCAATACACGTCATATATTTGCCAATATCATGGACCAATTTTTGCCATTTTACACATTCTGTGCTTTCAGCGACCTGTCTTGTAATGGTCATAAAGTGGTTTGTGCACAAAAGAGCCATTAAAATAATGACATTAATACTGATATACTCTGATATCTCTTTAATAATCTTCAAAATAAATTATATTCATGTACATCGATTTAACTAAACTCATACAGATAAAAGCATAATATATCAAACATCTTTAAGACATGGGATCACTACAATACAGATATGGTATACTGCCCTCAGCGGACATGTGACAAATTGCTCCTTTGCAAAAATCATCTTACATTCTCTGTAACGTCCCAGAAACATTCATTCCCGAATGCTGATTTAACAAAGACAATCAAAAGTGTGTTAGATTTACTTGCTACTGTTAAGGGTTGATCGTGTGCATATTTACAGGGTCTTTTTGGTATAAAGTTTTACATTGTTGGTACATTTAAGCGCTAGCTGATTGGCAGTTCTGCAGTTAAAGCTCCTCGGCCATCTGTAGCAAGGAGTTTATGGCAGCATCCTTGTTGCCCTGTTGGGCCTCCAAAACGGTGCGGATCACCTCCTTGTCGAGGTTGGGAAACATGTCCTGAAGGGCTTTAAGGTCTTCTTCACCGCAGGGGGCGCTCTGTGACGTGACGGCAGGCACGGCTGGCATTCCCATGGGCACCACACCTTGGTTATACATACCAGGGACACCTAAATACACATTTGGACAAAAGCGTACATTTCGTGTTTTGTTTTTATCATTAAAGGCTGTATTTAACTGTGCACAGGCAACCATTTTAGAGTCTTAATCTCCCAAACAGAACAGGTTTGCTTACTCATTTCAACCCTGCAAATCTGACATGACAAGTTCATTGAATCTTTAGACAAACATTTGCGTATGTGTTTTTTGTTTTTTTTAATCAGAGGCTGAAACTGAGCAAAAATATGCGATTTGGTGCAGATGCTGATATTTATACTGCCAAAAATTAAGATGAAATTTTGATAGTTTGTGATGTAAATCAATGAGGTCTTTATAACAGTATAGCAGACAACCTACATAAAATGATATATCAGTTGTCACTCTATATCTCCAATAATATGTCTTAGTAAGATGATACTTAAAAAACTAAAATAAAAATAACTATAGGACAGGAAGAGCTAAATAAACTTATCACTGCATCTAAACCAACAACATGTTTATTAGATCCTGTACCCACTAAATTACTTTAAGAGTTGCTGCCTGTAGCAGAAGAACCGCTTCTCAATATTATTAACTCGTCGTTATCTCTAGGTCACGTCCCAAAACCATTCAAGCTGACGGTTATTAGGTCTCTTATTAATAAAACACAACTAGATCCTAGTGATCTGGCAAATTACAGAGCCATGTCAAATCTTCCGTTTATGTCTACAATTTTAGAAAAAGTTGTGTCTGCTCAATTACGCTCCTTCCTTCAAAAAAATTATATCTATGAAGAATTTCAGTCAGGTTTCAGAGCCCATCATAGCATAGAAACTGACTTGCTTCTTGCATCCGAACAAGGCTGCATCTCATTGCTAGTTTTACTTGATCTTGGTGCTGCGTTTGACACTATAGATCATGACGTACTCATAGATCGATTACAAAACTATACGGTTATTTAAGGGCAGGCTTTAAGATGGTTTAATCCTACCTGTCCGATCGCTATCACTTTGTCTATTTAAATGGGGAATCATCTCAATTAACGCCAGTAAAGTATGGAGTCCCACAAGGATCTGTCCTAGGCCCTCTGCTATTCTAAAAGTCCATCAGATGACAAAAAGCATGTAGAAAATAGATTGTGTGAAACAGGCATTTCAGCAAAATTTTGATAATTTAAAGGCCTTAGAAATTTGTGTACCAAATATGATATAGTAGGGTTAAACATGATGAAGGGCCCTAAAACAGCATGAATATAGCAGTGGCTGATCGATTTATTATGTCAGTGTTATACATACCTGCTATGGGCACATATCCAACGCCCTGTTGATAAACTGTAGGCATCAAAACCACAGGCTGCGGCTGCATCATCATTCCTGCTGGTATTGACTTTGACAAAAAAAATAAAAATAGAGAGAAAAATAGACATTCGATTAAACAAACGTTGACATGCTCTTTTTTTGAAAGAGTTACTGTTCTTATATGTTATATCAGTTTACAGTGCATATACTTTTAGAATTTTCATGCATGTCCTGAGCAGGTCATTTGTACAGGCAACAAGTAATTTGACTGTCCACACTGAAAGCAAAAGCAGAACACAACATATGCATACCTATCACAATTGCATTGGTTTACAAAGTTGAAAGGCAACAGCATTTCTCTTGTAACACCTGTTTAAGATGCACCATTAACACACAGGAGTATTTTGTGAGTGAGGACTTACAGCAAAGGACATGACAAGATTAATCATGCCTTCTTTGTCATCACCCTGCCTTCCGCTCAAGCTGTACCATTCATCCACGACGGTTCCCTCTCGCAGACTCTCTGGGATCGTCACGTGTGTCCATGCGATGCGATCATCCATGGAAAACGCTCTCTGTCCGGCAACACAGAACAATCAACAGTTAAGATCACCTACTGCAAGAAAAGTCACCTTTACATGCAGGATTTCAGGATATAAAAATTCATGATTTAAGATTGTTATTTTGGCACAGCTACCGTTATTATTACAATTTTGAAAAAGCTTTAATTTTTATATTTTCTGTTTTCATTTTAAAGTTTTAGTAAATAAATTGTGTCAATTGTGCCATTTTTTGTTTGTTTCTTCGCCTACATCCAACATCCGCTGAAACATCATTATTTTGTGAACGCATGTATGACAATTAGCGGAAGCTAGAGATGAAATATGGATATTTTTCTTACACAAATGCATCGATTTGCTTCAGAAGGCCTTTATTGTCCCTTTGGAGCCATGTGGAGTACTTTTTATGATGGATGGATGCACTTTTTTGTGCTTCAAAATCTCGACCCCCCATTCACTGCCATTATAAAGCTTGGAAGAGCCAGGACATTTTTAAACATAACTCCGATTATATTAGTCTGAAAGAAGAATACACCTAGGATGGCTTGAGGGTAAGTCATGGGGTAATTTTTGGGTGAACTATCCCTTTAACTATAGTAACCCTGGCATGCCGTAATGGATTTTTTTCTTCCATACTATGGAAGTCTATGGCTACCAGAAACTCTTTGGTAATCAACATACTTCAAAATATCTTCCTTTGTGTTCAACAGAAGAAATAAATTCATACAGTTTTGGAAAAACTTGAGGGACAGTAAATTATGACAGTATTTGTTTTTGGGTGAATTATTGCTTTAATGTGACTAGAATATGACTAAAATATCAAATTAATGTTAACTAAATATGACAAAAACAAGGACATGTAACACAAAACTAAGCTATTAAAAATAGCTGGAAAAGGAATACAATTTCGAACCACTTTGAAAAGTAAATGATTCAAAACTTTCAATTATTTTGTCGTCTCTTTTTTTTAAAACAAATAAAGATTCTGGTATTTTTTTGTTTTTAATTACATTTTAGTTGTATCTTTTCCTGTCAACAATACAGAATATTGATATAGTCACAGTTATCGTTAAATGACATCAGTGTTGTCTCATCATAGTCATGGAAAAAAAAAAGGTTGTCAATAAACATTTTTCATCTTACTTTTCATAAAAAACTAATTATATATTAGAGGTCGACCGATAGTGGATTTTGCCGATACCGATAGCTAGGTTGGACCACACTGGCCGATACCGATTAATTAACCGATAGTTTTAAAATGGATACTGAACAAAAACTAAAATATTGCTTTATTAACAAAAACAGTACTGAACCACTAGTAGTAAAAAAAAAATTAAATAATAATAATAGTAAATGTTGAAATTAACACTAACAAGGAACAATACTTACACAGCTTTCATTAATCTTAATGCTACAAATGGACTCTTATTTGAAAGTGTTACCATTTCATTTTAACTGTCATGCTTAAAGATGCACATCTTTAAATATATACACAAAGGCTATAGCATTAAAATTATATACATATGGATATTGTATGTATACTCTCACACTTTAACTGCTTCTATTCTTGAACACTTGATGATTATCTAATCAAAATAAAAGTGCAGCGCTGAGTCTAGGAGAACTCACCGGTATCACACACACTCCGGACGCGTCGCGTTCAACTCGAGCAGCGGTCTAAAAAAGTTTATTTAATCACCAAACAGACACAAGTTTACTTCAAGAATGAACAATTTGGCATGGATGAGTTTGAAGTTCGGTGTTTAAAAAAACGGAGCAAACGGAAAGAGAAAGCGCGACCTATATTATAGCTCTATAAATGAAGCACA